CATTGCTAAGGTGTTCGTTGAAACTTTAAATGTTCCCGCGGGAATAATCAATATTTTCGAAGGTAATTATCAAATGAATTACTGGTCAAGTACATAGAAGTGCATACAGCTGTTTTTTTTTACAGATCTGGAGTCAATGTTTTCCATATCCGCGGAGGAAATCTTGAACCGGCATTCATTGCACGAAACATCAAGTGAATCGGCTGAAGCCATTTTCAATACAATATACGAATGGAGACCGCAGGAGCTGGAAGCGGCTATTCTAGGCAAATTGGAACTACCTGTTGAGTTTTTGGAGCTGTGCAAAGGTAAATGCAATTATTTTCTCGCACTTTTTCCTCGTCGTTAAGAATTCTCTGAACTTGCTGGCCAATAACCGACGCAAATCCAAATTTTTTTTTTTATCCAAACCAAGAACATCAGCTGCAAAAGGCGATTCTCCTTTGCTCTCAGTGTTGTTAATTTGCGTGGATTAGCTGTAATTCGTGAAAAACATAAGAAAAGTATAAGTTCCAAACCCACAAATGAAACATGAATTTCTTACTCTTTTTCGATACCAGCATATGACCTTTCGGTGAGTGAATTATTAACGGTTACTCTAGACGAGTGAACATTAGTCTTATCCACATCATCCACCAACTGGAATTTTGATGAAATCTTCCAAAGGCTACTTCAATGGAGATCGTAAAAGGTAAATTATAAAATATTATACAACATTTATATCTTTGTAATAAACTAATATTTTCTAGGGATATGAAATCTTTAGTTTTGAAGTCATTGAATGTGTGGATAACGAAACATTTTCTGATCTTGGAGAAAGTGAGAATTGCAACCCAGCAATCGACGTAAAACAGATCACACAGGACGGAGATGACAAAAGTCATCCAGTCGATGAAGAAGTGCCTGCAGAACCAACAGTAATTCCTTCAAGCGTAAACCCCGTGTTCAGTCCATCCATACAACTGGTACCCACAGAAGAAACCCGTGTAAACATCGAGACACCAATCAGAGAAGAATATACCTGCCCACCGGTTGTTGTGACCAAGGAAGTGGAACATTTCAATCCGGCTTTACTGAAGAAATTGCTAAGTACTTCGTTATCTGGAGAAGTCATCCTGGAAAGAGTGAAAAAGGGTCCTCTCTCGGAAACCAGTCAAAATGAACCAACAGGAATTATTGCTGATCATCACATCAAGCACGGATTTAAATCGACTGAACAAATTCTGGAATCTTATGCCGATGCAACCGTATGTTGTCTTAAGCACGAGATAAAGGTAATTCCTGCAATTGTGGGGTTTATTTTTTTTATTAAATGCCTATTTACATTTGTAGGAGGATTACTTTGTTCCCCGCAATGGTGAGAAGAATTCTAGCGGAAAATTCTACAACAAGATTACCAATTTGAAACAGCAGAAGCGAATCCAAGAGAAAGCAGAAGATCCATTCCTGGCAAAGCAAAAACGGATTGAAGATGTGGTTCAAGAGTCATCAGCCGTTCATGAGGCTATGGATTGGCTACTTCTGAACAGGCAGCCATGGAGTGTTGTTTTGGATAAATGGTCTGAAACATTTCCGAAACGGAAAGAATTACTTTGCAACGCTAATTTTATACTAATGCTTTCGGAAAAGTTTCCGCACTAAAAGGACCCATTTGGTTTTCAAACGCTCTGAAACATGATGCAACTTCATGCAAAAAATGAACGCACAAGGATTTAATTTGACTCCAAAACAATAATAAAATAGGAATTTATGAAGACGTTACTCCTCCTACTCGTGTTTCCTTATTTAAATGAAAACAAATGAAAATTACCTAATATATGCATTAAGTCATATAACAATTATGAATCATATTTTTGCCATATAACATTTAAATTACTTAAAATATAATTATGACGTGTTTCATAGATTCAATTAATTAATGATTAACATGAACACTAATGAAAAAAATCATTAGTGTGCATTCGTTACATCTGATAGATTCTACTTCTACAGTATACAAAATCTATAATATGCACACATAGAACCAACATGGATTTGTGATTAACCTTCCTATGTGTAAAACGTTATACATCATACTTGGAAACATCGATTGCAGCAATCTATAAAGTTCCACACATAGGATTGAGGCGTATATTTTTTTGAGTGTACGAAACAAGTCGAAGTGGCATTCGCCTCCGATCCTCGGGCGCGTGCGAATAGGGAGGATGGAATTACGTAATATTTTGCACACCCATCGCCATACTCAGAACCACACGCTCCCAGCGACCACACCACTGTGTGGTGGTGTTCGGTCGTCGAAATTAGTAGCAGCAGTAGCAGGGTAGCAGTGCTTTCGGCGTGTGGCGTTGAAAGTTGTTCTCCAGTAACAACGAAAGGCTGCCTGCAAGCAGCGAGCTGCAGAGCCCACATAAGCAACCATCAAAGGAGGAAGAAGCTGCACCGCTTTGCTATGGATCGGAATCAGTAGCTCTTCGTGAGTCGCTGCCGGTCGGTCATCTATGCCAAGCGTGTCACCCTCGCTCCAAACGGCAAGCCAAACGATTAGAAATTTATCTACCAATCTGCTAAAATGAACACTTAGTTAATTTTCAATAGGTCACTATTGAAAAATACTAAATGTCCAACTGTTGCAATGGTGATAAAAATTATCACCGAATGTCTGAAAACAGCGCATTCCCTAACACAGACTTAAAAATCGAATTCGATGCGGTCCCACTGAACGGTGCTCATTCAATCACCGTAAGTGGTGGTGTCCAGTCCAGCAGCAGCAGTAGTAGCAGCAGCAGCAGCAGCAGCAGCAGCTTTCGACAACAACAACAACAACAACAACGAAAGGCTGCCTGCAAGCAGCAAGCTGCAGAGCTCATATGAGCAACCATAGAGAAGGAGAAAGAAGTCCCACCGCTAGGCTAGGATCGGAATCAGTAGCTCGCCGTGCTCAGATCAGCATTACTCAACCATCACTACAAAATGGTCCTTTTCAGGACCACCATAAATTTGTTAAAGCTGGGTTTAGACAGGGTAACCCTAATAAACAAATACCATAAACGAACTGAATTCCGGATGGGTAAACTATACCACAAATGGCTTGGATGATATACCGAACACGTCGTTAAGCTCTCTTTTATGGTTATTTTTATTAGGGAAGTCAATTGATCAAGTCAGTTGCATTCAACTGACTTGAACGCGAATTGAACGTGTAAACCATGCCATTCAACTAACTTGATCAACTCACTTGAATTGAAAAAAGTTGAACCAGGCTCAACTTTTCAAGCCAATTGAATTCAACTGAGTTGATTATTTGACTTGCCTAATCTAAACCCAGCTTAAGAGTATTATTTGAACATTTGTCAAGGTCATCAGCTCCCGCAAGCAGCTAGCTATCAAGGCTCAACCTGGTCTCTATATAAGGTGTGGAATTGTAGGCCCGAATGTATTGGTGAGATTAATCATCGTCCGACCATTTTCCAGAACACGCTGGTAGGAAGCGTTAAAAATCCATATAGAATTTGAGAGAAGTGGGAATAATTCGCTTTGGGTATATATTCAGTCCCCAGAAAGCCAATAAAATCAAATTTCTGAGAAAATTAGCTCTCACGAGTTCAATCTCTTGAAGTCCCTCCTTTTTAACATATTCTGCACAAACGATACTTTCCGCCCCGCCCCATTCATATAATTCGGAAGAAAATCCTGTGAGGGGTGAATTGAATACACTTTAATACCAAAATGCACAAAACTTAAAAATTCATAAATAACAAAAAAATCAAATACACCTTTTAAAGTTGGGTAGATGAATCGAAAATACTCAAGTTGACAGTCCCTTGGATTCTCTTCATCAACATTCTCTTTGAAATAAATACTACGAATTTGATACGCTTGCAAATTAAAAACGGAAAGAGTTAAGATAACTGATGATTGATCAATTAAAAGAACTAAATTTTCACATTTGTTCCGTCCACTAGCGGTCCTACGTCAAGCTTCCGTTCGTGCCCCTAGGCACAGACCCTTCTACTTTTTGCTAGAAGAGACGACTTTTCAACGGTGCCGTCAACGCCAATAGATGCGGTTAGGCTATAGTTGCTTTGCAAAAAAATTTAGATTTCGTATGGTGAACGACCCATTGTTCGTATGGTTGGGTCTTCTAAAACCTTAATCAATATCTGGGGTATGGTTCGATTAAAGTTGACGGAACAATTCTCATTTTAGTTTTTAGAGGAAGATACATAAACCATTTTCAATGTGGTAATCGGATGGTTGTGATTTATGCGAGTGTGTCGAAGAGTGTTTTTTAAGGTGGCAGCGAGGGGTGCGACACATCTAAATCTCGATTTTAAATGGTCGAAAAATCTCGCACTAGCGAATCAATCTTCGAAAAATCTTTTTTCATCTCTTGCATCTAAACCCATCTACTCGCATCGCTCTCCACCTTTTGCAGGAAATCTTAAAAATCATAATCATGTGTTTTTATCTATTAAGCGCGAGTGCACATCACAACAGCAAAGCAAAAAATTTCCTGCATCTTAGATAGAGTCGCCCCCCCTGCAAAAAATCAAAAGTTAATAAAAAAATATCACTTACCCCAAGATTTTTTAAAATTATCTATAAAGCCACAAAATCTAGAAGATGTTTCATGGTCTGCAATATTCAAAGAACCTTTGCCCCTTGCAAATTTTGTAATTTTAGAAAAGTTAAAAAATAAAACTTGCACCAGCCTAATGAAAAAAAAAATCATTTTCGTTTGTTTCCACTGCTCAAACATTTTGATCCATTTTCATAAATGTTCTTCAGGTCTGACCAATTTAAAAATAAATCCCACTATCCCGATCAGCTGTTTGACCTGCTTGCAATTTTTTCCTCACCCGTTCGATCCAGCAGCACTGCCATCGGGTAAACAAACGCGATCCACCCGAACGGAGCCGAACACACCCGAACTTTGACGTCTTCTCCCGCTGTCGCTCGCCGTGTTTTGCTGCTTCGCACGTGTTGTTATTTACAAACTCGTGTGCTCGGTGTACGGTGCGGTCGTGTCGTGTCTCGTGCGGAAAAGTTGTGAATTTTAGTGAAAAACCGTGCGGAACTGTTTCGAAAGCCAACCGGAGCCCGTCTGCCGTCGCTATGGAAGTGGACTGTGAGAGGATCCGGCGGAGTTTGCGCCATTTGCGGGAGACATTGGGCTGCCTGGAGGTGGAGCCGTTTTTAAGGTTATCCGTAAGTAACGCACGCTGGTTTCGGGCAAATTGATTATCGGTAATGGTTTTTCTTTTGGGAACAGAATATTTCCTCCCCGGACATGGACCGATTGGTCACTGTGCTGGGTCAGTTACTGAAAAATCCGATATACACAGAAGCCATTGCGGACGGGTTTGGGAACATTTTGCTGCTGATCGTGGCTAGCGCATTTGGCGAGACGGATTACGAAGATGAGAAGAAGAGCCATACAAAAACAGTGAATCGTGAAGGACACCGACGAAAGTGCGTAGCGCTTTCAAAATTAGTTGCACGCTGTCCGGATGTGTTGCGGTAAGTATTTTTTAATGGGTTAAAGAATTGTAGGATTCAGGTTAATTTCTTTTGTACTTCCAGGTTTAGCATTCACTACTTCCGTTACAATGCACCGCCGTTCGGTACGGACGAAACGGTGGATTACACACCGACGACCAAGCAGAAGAAAGCTGAGCGAAACGCCGTTACAGAACTTGAGTTGATCCAGTGCTGTTATCGTTTCCTGTCGGCGGATCCGATCTATTTCCGTTCGGCGTGGACTTGGTCCGAGTTTTTCGAACAGTTTAGCAATCGGAAGGGATGCAGTCGACAGCAGTACTACTACAATCGGATACTGGCACTGGTCAGCTGTATGACGCAGAGTCAGGTGAATAAGCTGGATCAAGAGCTGCCACTGGAAGCCGTTGTTCGGGAGCAGTTGGAAGAGGACAGTGTGGCGTTGAAAGATTTAATTGTAGGAGACGAGGAGAGCAAGACTGGACAGAAGATGCGGTGGAATTTCCGAAGCAATGTGGTTACAAACGTTGGGGACGTGATGCTGCCGATTTTCGATGCCGGAAATTGCGATTTCTATCGTGGGCAGGAGAAGGAACCGGACAATTTGGTGGTGGTAGATTCGACGCGGTTGAATGTAAGGAGTTTGGCTATGGGTGTTTCCTCGCGGAAGGCTATTTGTCTGTCCGGACCGGTTGGATGTGGAAAGACTTCGTTGGTGGAATACTTGGCCAGGAAGACGGGAAGGATTGCACCCAAGACGAAGGAATTGCAGCGTCGGATGAAGTCGGCACTGAAGGAGAAAAGCAAGAAGAGAAAATCAGGAAAGTTCGAAGCAGAGTTAGATGTTAATTTGAAGCAGCTGAAGAAGGAAGTACCACGGAATGGGTTCCTCAGGATCCAACTGGGTGATCAAACCGATAGTAAGATGCTGCTGGGTCAGTATCGATGTACAGATACCCCAGGGGAGTTCGTGTGGCAGCCGGGAGTTCTAACGCAGGCCGTTATGAATGGCTATTGGCTATTGTTGGAAGATTTGGATTCGGCTACACAGGATGTTTGTACGGTTCTGACGAATCTGTTGGAGAACAACTACCTGAGTGTTCCTGGTTTTCGAGATTGTCTCCGGATCGAACCGGGCTTCCAGCTGTTCCTGACACTTCGAACGCACAAATCCGGTGCTGGTGCGGCCCATAACACCTACACCTTGCTGGAGAAGTATCTGTATACGGTGAATGTCTTGCCTTTGGCGCGATCGGAACTCTGTTCGATCATTTGCACCAACTATCCGAGACTCAAAACTGTTGCAAGCCGCATAGTGGACATCTATCTAACGTTCTCCAGTGGGTGTCACTCGATTGAAAGTGATGAAATCAGCGAAAACATTAGCATTCTAGAGGAAGATCACAAGAAACCTCTCAAAGGGTTCGAACAGGATGATGAAGACATTCTACCGAGGTTCCAGTATGACAACATTTCGCTTAGTAGTCTTCCCAATTCCGGAAGATTGGTATCGACAAGGGATTTGATCAAACTGTGTCGCAGATCGGACCCTAACTTCTCGGTGACGAGCACGGAGTGCGCCTATTTCGTGTTCCAGAACGCGGTGGACATTTTCTGTTCGCATCTGCCGGCTGGAGAAGGCAAACGGAACTTGATCGTGAGCATCGGTGGCAAGATCGGGATCAACAAAAGCCGTTGCGATCATCTGTATGAAGATTACAAGCCGGACGTCGACGTTTCTGCCGCTGAGCAGGTCAAGATCGGTCGCGTAAATTTGAAGCGGTATTTGGAAAGCGAGGAGAACGACGAAAATGATCGGACCTATACCCACAAGAAGATCCGACTGGACAAGAACGCCTCGTCCACCGTTAAGATGCAGGATTTCAAACTGCAGAACAAGGCTCCCACATTTTCCTTCACCCGTCCTGCTTCCTGTCTGTTGGAGCGAATTGCCGTATCCGTAGCGCAAAATGAACCGATCTTACTGGTCGGAGAAACCGGAGTCGGCAAGACCAGCTCCATACAATATCTGGCCTATCAAACCCACCACAAGCTGGTCGTGGTCAACATGAACAACCAATCAGACGTTTCTGATCTGATCGGAGGATTCAAACCGGTTGATCTCAGTTACGTGATCACCCCGCTCCGCTACGAGTTCGAGTTCCTCTTCAACAAAACCTTCAACGCCCAGAAGAACGAAAAGTTCCTTACCAACGTCAGTATCTGCTACAACCGTGCTGAGTACAACGTGCTGGTCAAGTTGATGCTCAAAATCACTGAAAAAGTCTTCACAAGGAAGCAAGACGAACAGCTTCGTCTGGAGAAGGTCTACGAAAAATGGGCTACTATTCAACAGAAGCTTCAAAAGCTAGACTCCCAGTTGCGCAACTCGGTCAACGTATCGTTTGCCTTCATCCCCGGATCGCTGGTCAACTGCATCCGCAACGGAGATTGGGTCCTATTGGACGAAATAAATTTAGCTTCCACGGAAACCTTGGAATGTTTGTCAACTATTCTGGAACCGGACGGCTCAATCATCCTCCTCGAGAAAGGAGATTTCGTTCCAGTCAAACGCCATCCAGACTTTCGCATTTTCTCCTGTATGAACCCCAACACCGACGTCGGTAAGAAGGACCTCCCGGTGGGCATCCGAAATCGATTCACGGAGTTCTTCGTCGATGAACTAGTTGCCGAAAACGACCTTCTCATCCTGGTTAACGACTACCTCAGCAGCACAGGAATCCAGAAGGTCCGGATCCTCAACACCGTCAAACTCTACCGCCGCTTGCGAGGTCTCTCTCAACTGGAACTCAGCGATGGTCTCGGAAATAAGCCTGTCTTTTCGCTGAGAACCCTCTGCCGAGCGTTAAGCATCTGTTCCAAGAACCTGTGCGGCTCGATCGAGCGAAACCTCTACGAGAGTTTCTGCCTTAGCTTCCTCACCCAACTGGATCTCAAGTCGCACAAAACCGTACTCACGTTCATCCAGAAAACCCTCCTAAATGACGTAACGCAAGCCATCTCGCAGCAAATTCCACGTCCTCCGGACGGCGAACAGCTCAACTTCGAAGGCTACTGGATCGAGAAGGGCCCTAAGGACATTCAGGAATGCGAAAGCTACATCCTTACGGAAAGCGTTCGAAACAACTTACGCGATCTGGCCCGTATCATCTCGATTGGAAAGCTGCCGGTTCTGCTCCAGGGACCGACCTCGGCCGGCAAAACCAGTCTAATCGAGTACATCGCAAAGCGAAGTGGCAACGTCTGCCTTCGGATTAACAATCACGAGCATACCGACCTGCAGGAGTACATCGGAACGTACGTGGCGGATGTGACCGGCAAGCTGACCTTTAAGGAAGGTGTGCTGGTTGAAGCCATGCGGAACGGATTCTGGATCATTCTTGACGAGCTGAACCTCGCTCCAAGTGACATTTTGGAAGCGTTGAATCGAGTGCTGGACGACAATCGGGAACTGTTCATCCCGGAGACGCAGGTCGTCGTGAAGGCTCACCCGAACTTCATGCTATTTGCCACGCAAAATCCACCCGGACTGTACGGAGGTCGTAAGATGCTTTCCAGAGCGTTCAAGAATCGATTTGTTGAGCTACACTTTTCGGAGATTCCTCGGGACGAACTGGAGGTGATTTTGGAGAAACGCTGTCTCATTCCAAAATCCTACGCCCAAAAGATGGTGAAGGTAATGTCGGAACTGCAGCTGAATCGCCGGAGCACGGCCAAACAGAATTTCACCCTTCGCGATCTGTTCCGGTGGGGCAATCGGTACACTTATGCCGATAAGACTCTGCTGGAGAACACCAGCTACGACTGGAACCAACATCTGATCGACGAGGGGTATCTGGTATTGTCATCGAAGGTTCGCAACCTGTACGAAACCAAAATCATCGAGGAAGCGCTGTATACCCACTTCCGAAAGCGAGTTTCCGAGGAAAATTTGTTCAGCCTAAAGAAAGGGACCTCTATGGTAACTCGAGGAATTCTGGAACAGCTGGAAAAGCAGACCGTCTACGAAAACATTGTCTGGACATTCGATATGCGGCGAATGGCCGTACTAACGGCCAAAGCTCTGGAATTCAATGAACCGGTACTGTTGGTTGGCCCTACCGGATGCGGCAAAACTACCATCTGTCAGTTACTGGCGGCTATTCGGGATCGTAACCTGCGCATTCTGAACTGTCACATGCATACTGAAGGTGCGGACTTCCTGGGAGGTCTCAGACCATTCCGAGATTCGGACGACTCGACGGAAAAAGACACCAAGCAGCAGTTGTTTGAGTGGTCCGATGGGCCGCTAGTTCTCTCCATGGCCGAAGGTGGCTTCTTTTTGGCGGATGAGATCTCGCTGGCTGAGGACTCCGTCCTGGAGCGACTGAATTGTGTACTGGAGCCGGAACGAACTCTGCTGCTAGCGGAAAAGGGAGGAGTTTCGGCAGATGCTTCCGAGTTTGTCATCACCGCAGCTGACGGCTTCCAATTTTTGGCCACCATGAACCCCGGTGGAGATTTTGGCAAAAAGGAATTGTCGCCAGCGTTGAGAAATCGACTGACAGAGATCTGGTGTCGAGCCACGGATTCCAAAGAAGATCTCATCCGGATCGCTGATCATATGCTGCGCAAGGGAATCCAAAACGCCGAAAGCGATCCTCACCAAGTTGCTCAGGTGATCATTAGTATCGTATTCGTTTTGAAGAAACAGGTCGACAAGCTGAACTTCAGCATCCGAGATGTCCTCGCGTGGGTTGCATACCTGTGTAAGAACCAGCGGAACTTATCCCTCGCTGAATCGTTGATCTACGGATTGGAAACCGTATTCCTGGACTCGCTAGAGATGCTTCCGTACGAAACGTTCGAAGAAATCCTCGCTCTTCGCAAGGAGATCCTCTCCATTCTACACCTCCTAATTAAGGAGCATCTCGGAATCAAACAATTTGAGCTCAAGCATGGCACCGAGGTCCAATCGGATGATACTACCTTCGGGATCACACCCTTCTTCATCGACCTCAGCCCAGAAGAACGCGATCGTCATACGGAATTCCTGTTCAGTGCTCCAACAACTCAGAAGAATCTCTTCCGACTGCTCTCGGCGCTCAGTTTAGATAAAGCGATCCTCTTGGAAGGTGCACCGGGAGTCGGTAAAACATCACTAGTGGAAAATTTAGCCCGAGCAGCCGGATTTGCCATCGTTCGAATCAACCTGTGCGAACATACCGACCTAGCGGACCTGTTCGGAACGGATCTCCCGGCGGATGATCGATCGCTGGAGATAGCCGACGACGATGACGAAGACCATCAGGCTCGGAAAGACTCGAAGCTGGGATCGTTTGTGTGGCGTGACGGGCCTTTGTTGGCCGCCCTCAAAGCTAAGAATACCTGGATACTGCTGGATGAACTGAATTTGGCTCCGCAAAGCGTGCTAGAAGGTTTGAATGCGATCCTCGATCATCGTGGCGAAGTGTATATCGCTGAACTGAACAAAACTTTCAAGCTGGGCACGAAGACACGGATCTTTGCAGCTCAGAATCCTCTGAGACAAGGTGGAGGTCGAAAAGGTCTTCCCCAGTCATTCCTGAATCGATTCACCAAGGTCTATTTGAGGAAACTGGAGCGGAACGATTTGCTGCATGTCGTTGAAGGGAAGTACCAGGTGAAGTTCCAGAAGATAGGCGAGGAATTGATTGACGATCTTGGAAGATTTGCGGGCGACAATGTGAGCTACTTCGGAGCGTTGAAATCGACCGAGGATGAAGCGATCAAGTTTGATCTCGCTCAGAAAATGGTAATCTTTTCCGAAACTTTGGAGACTGGAATCGCCAATCTGGAGTTCGGCTACAAGGGAGGTCCATTCGAGGCGAACCTCCGAGATATCCTTCGATGGTGCGAGCTATTCTGCAACGATCATACTGGATACTTCCGCAAGAAGTTCACCAACCCGGAAGATTCGTACCACAACTTCCTGTTGGTATTGTTCGAGAAAATGAAACTGGTCTACTACCAGCGCATGCGGACCGACGTCGACAAGAGTTACATCCTGTCGGCATTCTCGCGAGTGTTTGAATGTGATGCCTACGAGTTGGAGCGGCTATCGCAGGATATTGGAGTCTACTGGACCGATGATAAGCTCTATCTGGGCGATTTGATCGTGGAGAAGATCAACCGAACGGACGAGATGAATCCTTTGGCTTCCAAGGCTCAGAAGAGCTTCCCGCTGTTGCTGGCAAGTCAGGTTGAAACGTTGAAAAACGTCGCCGAGTGTGTCCAGCTGGAGAAACCGGTGATCCTGTGTGGCCCAAGCGATTGCGGCAAAACGAAGATCATCAACCTGTTGACGACGCTGGGTAACAAGTTCTGCAATGTGGACACGATCGACGATTCGGTGACGGGAAGCTTCCAGCAGTTTGATTTCAACCGACATCTGGAGGAGATTTCGTCCAACGTGGAAGCGGTGGTGATGGATACGGTGAAGGAAGCCGTGCTGAGTGGCACCGCAGAAGGAAAGCGCGCTCTAGTGCAACTGATGGCCATTTGGGAGAAATATTCACGACTGAACGATGGAAAAATGGGTAAGTACACTAAATTGTTATTTTGTTATATCGCATCGATTGCTAAGCACATCAAACATGGGGGTGGAACAGTTAGGCAGGGTTGTCAGATTATCGTGGGGTTTCGATCCATAAATTGGTAAATTGGTTTTACGTTGAATCTAATGAAAATTTTCTTAAAACCGTCTTTTGGTGGTGCGCTAGAAAATCCGTAGATTTTTTAAATCGGTTCGTAGATCCGTAGAATGGGTCTCATTAAGTCTAGTCGGTAAAGGCACGGTGTATTACTAAACCGGAGGCGGCGGGTTCGATTACAGAGCCGGTCGAGAAAATCTTTCGATTTGGAAATTTTCGCTGCTTCTCTGGGCATAGAGTTTCTTTGTGCTTGCCACACAATATACAAATTCATTCATTTGTTAGCATAGAAAGGCCTCATTTAATAACTGTGGAAGTACTATTAGAACACTAAACTGATCCGAAGAATCCGTTGATCTGACAACCTTGGTTTGGTATCGTTTGTTTATCGGCACTAGATTTTGATGTCGGTGTTAGGAATCAACATAAGCTAAATTAAATATTGTTTAAACACATACTCAACAATGGATCATTCCCCTTCCCTAAATCAGCCTTCACCGCACAAAACGTTCAATCGGAAGAGCTGTCTCTGTTCCGCAAGCGTCTCGCCGCCCTACAGGACGTTATTTCTCTTCTAACTGCTCAGAAAACCTCGGACCACGATCAATCTCACCTCCACTCGATGGTTTCCGTCCTGGGAGTGCTGTTCAACATTTCCAAACACGCGGAAACCCTTAACACCGGAGGCCACTTCGAGTGGGTCGACTCCAAAATCGTCAAATCCCTCAAACACGGGCAGTACATTTGCCTGGAACATGTCAATCTATGTTCGTCCGCCATCCTGGATCGTTTAAATCCGATCTTCGAACCGGACGGAAGTCTGTTGATTTCGGAAAAGGGAGTCGACGGTAACAATGAGTCCGAGTTGATCCGCAAGCACGCCAACTTCCGGGCGTTCTTGACGCTCGATCCGAAGAATGGAGAAATCTCTCGGGCGATGCGGAATCGGTGCATTGAGCTGGCACTACATAAGGAAGCTTACGGAGAGGACGACTTGAAGCGATTGGTGTTTGAAAGTGGAGTCCGGGACAATTGGTTGATAAATGTGATCTTGGCCATTCACAAGGCCGTCAAGAAGGTTTCGGAGTTCAACCAGTTTGGTATCGCTCACATCGTTAAATTTGCCTACCTGGTTGCACAGAACCAGAGAATGGGAATGACCGCAGAGAAGTGTCTCATGATTAGTGCTTTGGAGGTCTACGTGCGATCGTCCAATACGGATCTGCTCGGTTACGGGTTGGATTTCTATCGAAACGCTCTGAAGAATGCTATCAAGGATGAGATCGGTGCTATAGTCGTCACACCAAACCTTGTCAGCTACGAAAACGTTCTACTGCGATCGAATCAGCTCACGAGTCTTCAACTGATCAAGCTGCAAGCTGAACCTCTTCTGTGCATTCTGCGGTGTCACCTAAACAGTTTCACAGATATCGCTGGAGCTCTGTCGGACATTGCAACCGCGTTCCACGAGCAGAACGAAATCAATCTGGCCAATTTGAAGTATCTATTCTACTTCCTCTACGAAACGTCTAGCTTCAAAGACGTCGATCGCCGCAAGATCTTCCTGGCGGAGTCGCTGAAGGCACTCGAAAACGTTCAGAAACTGGAACCGAAGAAGGAGATCACAGCTGCCACCGACAGCTGCATTACAATAGACGTGGCAATTCAAGGAACCGAAAGTCAATGGAAAACGGCCCCCAAAGACCTTTCTGGATATCGAGATCTTCAGCATACCAAGCGGGAGAAATTCGAGCTCGATGAAGTTTCTTCCATCACCATCGACGAAGTTTTGCAGCAATTGACCGACCTGAACCAAACACTATTCTCCGCAGTAAACAAGTTTGGTTCGACGGGACATCTTCCATGGAACCGAGCACTGCTGCCGAGAATTCGAGAATATCTAGAGGATTCTACGGTTGAGCAGTACCAGTTGAGTGCTATCCTTTTGCTGAACACAACTTTGCAAGAAATCAAAGCAGTAAACGCTATCAAGTTGAGCAAGATCGATGTCCTGTCCTATTCGAAAGCTGTCTCCAAGGAGGTCATCAACGATACGGTAGGAAACAAATTGATCGCACAGTTGTACAACTTCTTGACCAGCTTCAAGCCGCTGATGGAGCAAGCACTGCAGAAAGCCGTCCTCGATCAGATCTCCTACGCCAAGATGATTGGATCGTATTTGTGGATTAATCGTTTGATAGATCTTTCCAATCGGAAGCTGTTCGTCAACAAGGAGATCGACACAGCGCTAGTAGACTACATCACGCTGCATTTCAAGTGGATCCAGAAACATTGCCTAAGCCTGCTGGATGATCTGAGCAGCAGTCCGTTCAAAAGTCTGAACGACTCGCTGGAAGAGTCTATTCAAAGTTCTACGCATCCTCTTGCCATGCATAGGAAACTTTACTCGAAGACATTCCTCAGCAGCCTGCCATTCTACACAGAAGAACAAGTGGCGCACTATCAACGGGTTATGGAATTCAACGAAGGCCTGCGGCTTTCACCCAGATTGACTCGGTTGTTCGACTACGAAGACTTTCTGAAGAAGGTAGCACTGTTGAACCATCCCAAAACGATCGATGTGAGACGATCGCAACTGGCTCATTCCCAGCAGCTTGTGACGCTGAGACTTGATCAGCGGGAAGCCAGTGCAAGTTTGGAACAACCTGAATATCAACAATTGATCACCCTGATACAGCAATTCCAAGAAACGGCTATCGAGGACTCGACCGCACAGTTGATCGCCTCAACCGAACAGCTGAACGAATATCGCAAGTTTGCGGCAGCCCTTGAGACTCCCGAGGAGTACAATTACAAATTCCCGGTGGAAATGATGCCGCTGTACGAATACTTCCTGCTGAAATCTTTGACCGGAAATTCTTCGATCAACTACGACTACGTAGCGAGTGTTCGTTCACTAAATCTAGACACGATGTGCCTGTTGAAGCATCTGGGTAGTTCTCAGCATGCATCCTTCCTGGAAATGAGTACCCTTCTCGATAAACTAATCGAATCCGGAACCGAGCATAGCGATCTTCTAAAAGCGCTCCCAGCTGGCTTCTACAAGAACATTACGGCCTGCATGCATCAATACCGTCGACACGTCTACAACTTCCAGTTGAACTCGTTGGCCATCAATCACGTTGTTTGCTATCAGAATGACACCGAAGCTAGCTACGAAACTCACCTGGAGGAAGTATCCAATCAGTCGCTCCACGGACCGGTACTGACCAGCAATTGTCTGTCCATCCTGCTGGCCAATAACGGAGAGCTACGATCGACCGGCTTGGGCGAACTCCCGGAATGGAGGAATACTTTGAAGACACTTCGCAATACAATCTGGACCAATTCGGTTGTTTTGAGAAAGGAATACGATCAACACTTCGTTGGACTGGACAGAGCCGTTGGACAAGCTCGGAAACTGCTAGTAGAGTACGAATGTGTTCAAAAATGGTTCGAAGACAGTCAGCAGAAGGTTGATAACGAAAAGTTTGTTGAAGACTTCAACGTTCTTGCCGAAGAACTTAAAAAAATTGTGCAACAATCAACCGATCTACGATCGAATGTGACTTACGAAGAGCTTCGGTCCAGTGCAAACAGAAATCTCCAGTGGCATCTGAGCTCCGCTTTGAACTCGTTGTGCGGAGCGATCGAGTTAAATCTCCTAATTTACCTGCCGCTGCTTGATCCAGTCGAAAAGAACGCCCTGAAGAAATCCTACACCGATGAGGACATACAACACTACAAAACGCTCGTCCAAGTTTACGATTACATGGCGATTACCATGAACTACCGTCGACTGGGCGAGAGCCCGAAGCAGGTATTCATCAGCCACCTGAACCACTTGGAAGACAAACGCAACAAACTCTGCCGGAAGGTCGCTCTACGCCCTGCGGACAACATCTACACCGAAATGGTTAAGGATATCAACAACTTCTTGATCTCTTGTTGCTACCCGGGAACGATCGGTGAGCTGATCGTCATTTCCACACAGTGCTTGAACTTTGAAGTGGACACCAAGAATCCGATCAAGAACTGTACCCAAACGAAAAACTTCCAACTCCGGGTGAACGAAACGATCAAGCAAATCGAGCTGTGGGTCAACATTGCCGACAAGTTCGAGCACCACACACTAAAGCGTTACCAGGCGCACTATCGAGACTTTTTGGAGCCCCTTTGCTGCTCGATCGCTACGATGAAGTACGGCTTGGTCGGTTTGAAGCATTGCCTGGTCATCAGACGGGAGTCGATCGGGATAAAGAGCAATGGAGTGTTCTACGATCTGGCGGAGAAGGATGCCTTGACGAAGATCCTGGAAAAGTTTGCGCAGTTCCCTGTGGTGAAGCCAATCGCGTTGTTCGATGAGGAAGCAAGCGGACATAAAGTGAACGTTTATTCCATTCTTGAAAAGATCGATCATAGTGAGAACGGTTATTTCAGGCTGTTGAAATCCAAACTGCAGGATGTGAAAAATTCAATCACTCTCCGAGGCGGAATCGGCGAGGAGGAGTTTGTGGACCTGGATAAAATCGTGAATGTTTGTAATCAGGTTTGGCAGAAGCAGGAGAATTTGAGAAGGAAGAAGCAAGCCGAAGAAGATAGTTTGTACCAGACGAAGAGCCACTGTGAAGAAGAAGATGAGGAGGTCATCGCGCAACGGGAGATTGTCGAATTGTTCCCGAACTATGTGGATGAAGACTTTGCTGATTTCATCCAGAACGATACGCTGGAGCAAGTCATCAAGAAGGATAGTGTGAAGAAGAATCAAAAGTTGGTGGAGACGATTTCTGGAGAGGACTACACGTTGATCTGCGAGAGCTTCATCTATCTGATGAATAAGTTCTCAAAGTCGTTCTACTACAACCCGGAGACCGTTGCGGAGCTACCGGAAGTGATCGCGCCCGATTTCGTCGGTCCGTTCCAAACGAAGATTGCGATCTTCCAACAGATTATGCACAAGTACAGACCGGCACTCAATAGCAAACTGGATGAGAGTTTCTATCCCGGGTTGAGCTTCCTCGTTGGACTGGCTCAAGAGAAATATGAGGATTTGGATTTGAAACGATCGACTACCAGCAAGTATAACTTTTACAAAGATTCCAATATCGGTGAAGTCGTTCAGTGCGTTGAAGTGCTCAAGAAAATAGAAGATCGTGTCCGGAAGCTACTTCTGGAGTGGCCGGATCATGCAGTACTGAAAGACATGCTACTAATCTTGAACCGAATCTATGCACTACCTTCGACGGCTCCGATCGTACGGTTCAGTACGGGTCTACAGCTGCTGCGACAGAAAATTGATGAATGGAATAGCGTAGCTCATCGGTTGAACAATCTACGTGAACTGGAAGCGGACATCGTGGACTTCGTGCACCGATGGATGCGAATGGAGCTGCAATACTGGAGGGAGTGTATGAGCCAAACGCACGATAACGTACGGTCGAAGGCGTACCGGTATTGGTTCTTTATGTACAATCTGCTGCACGAATATCTGCAAAGCGATTCGAAGGCCAAGTTGGGAAATTTGCTGGACTACAGGAAAGTGGAACGCTGCTTTGGGGAGCAGGAACTATTGGACGAGGAAGAAGTGGAAGATGGAACGGTCAAGATTGAGGACTTAATTCACGTCCTGAAGCAGTTCATGGAGTCGTCTAACTATGCAGAGTTCACCACTCGCCTACGCGTCCTAAAGTCATTCGAGCAGTATCTGATGTACTTGAACTTTGAAGACAATCGCAAGAAAGAAACGCTCATTGCTGTTCTGTACAATTTGCACATGTACTACGATCAATTCTCGGCGGAAATCGAAGAGTACATCCGAACGAAGCGAGCTCCTATTGAGAAGAAACTAAAGGAGTTCGTCAAGATCGAATCCTTCAACAAAGATCTCTCGTACTTTAGTATGCGGAACAACATTGCACGAGTCCACCGGCAGTTGCACAAATTCCTGAAAGAGTTTGAAACAGAAATTCGAACTAAAATCCTTCCCGTGTTCACCCCCAAGGATCCGGCTGCGGAGATCAACGATGCTGACGCGCAAAAGGGCAAAAACCTTCGGTCGGAACCCAAGATCACCTACTACATGGTGGACGTTAAGAACTTCATGGCTTCACTCAAGCTGAAAGAGAAGTTCTCCGTTGCCAGCCTGTCGCAGGAAACCACCCTAAACCAGGAGCTACTGGCCAAAATCGATCGGTTTTTCGTAACCTCCCGTACCGTTGTGAAAGAAGCGATCCTGCATGCACCCTTCCCAGGGTTGATCTACAACCTGGACACCTTCATGTACGATCAGATCGAATCCATAGAATACCTCCGTGGTCTGGAGGTTGATCGTGGTCAACCAAAACCCAAGCAAAAATCTCAAGCCAAGCATATACTCAACCAAAAGCGCAAGGCACTGTCGGACTTCTACAAGAGTTTAACCCAGTTGGGATTGAGCTACCGAAGTGGATTGGTGGAGAATGCGATCGAGTCCGAATTTGTAGATGTAACGATTAAGCCGTTCTCCGCGAACCTACTCGCACATAACAGCAAATACCGCAAAGTGGATCAGCACATCGTGTTCCTGAACGACAAGCTCAATCTGTACTACGCCAAGTCTGTGTTCAAGATCAAGATGCTGATGAAGGTTTTGCTTCAACCGAATCCAGACATTGGAAGGATCAACCTCGAAAGAATCAAGGGATTCGCTGTAGACTTGTTCCTGATTGTTCAAAATCAGCGCAAGGAGCTGGGAAAATCCGTAGCCAGCGTGTACGAGCTGAGAGATAGAATCCAGGATCTTACGCAGCTCAGCAGTTGCCTAGAGTCGACCAAACGCGAGTTCAAATTTGGACTGTACAGAAGGAAGATGGACAATATGCGAAAGTGTACGATCAAGGTGCAAAGTGTGCTTGAGCAGTTCCAGTTGCTTCTAAGTTGTGCTCCAGCAGAAGTTCAGGAAGAGTTGAGAATGCTGAAGGACATCCCGGAGTTGACTCAGAAGACGATCGAGCCTATTCTGACAGGAGTTCGCGATGGTTTGAAGCGATGTGTTCAGCTTAGTGAATATCTAAAGAAGTGTGACGAGAACTACTTCACCGCTGATTTCGTTCACTCCGTAGACGAGCAGTTCAACAGCCTAACGAACATTCTGGATCAGCTGTGCGATCAGCTGAAGATCAGCAACTCCGAAGAATACTCAGTGTATGCTCAACCGATTTTGGATGTATTAAAGATCGTTAGATCTGCCATCAGTGAAGAGGAACATGCTGTTTCTGATGATCATCTGGACGAAGAAAATCTCAACAATGAGGTGGAGAATATCATCCACTCGATTCTGATCGCAATGCAGCATATCTATAAGAAGTATTCGACTCCAAACCAACTAGATCCAGCAGAACCGACCAAACAGAACGGTGACACGGAGGAAACTGAAGAACATGAACCGGAATCGGAACTTCAACCGCAGCACTTGAAGGAGAAGATCAACGTTGACCTACTCCAAGATCTGCAAACACTCAGCATTCGTAAGGTGGTCACAAAGATCTGCAATCTGTTAGCCATGTTGGAAAACACGAACCACTCCGCACCACAACTCGTAACCATGATTCAGAAGGTAACCCGCCTGGTACCGATCCTGGAGCAGTTTAACTTGCTGGTTGAGTACTACTTGATTCAGCAGCTGGGAGCGCACAAGATCAGCACCAAAATGCTATCGGTTATGCTAACTGTGTTTATCGAACTGGGAACGAAGGGATTCTGTGTACCGAAAGATCTGCTGGACGATGAACAGGAAGCGGGTGGTGAGCAGCAGGAAGGAAACGAAAGTGGAGAAAAGTTCGGTTTTGAAGATGGTGAAGGAGAGAAAGATGTGTCGAACAAAATTGAAAGTGAAGATCAGCTGGACGATGCTAAGAAACCAGGGCAGGAGGATAAGAATGAGGAAGAGGAAAAAGATAACAAGGAGGAGAAGGGTATCGATATGAGTGAGGACTTTGATTCGAAGCTTCAGGATGTGGAAAAGCCGGAGGGTGAAGACTCAGACGAGGATAAAGAGGACGAAGAAGATGCTGATAAGCAAATGGGAGAAACCGAGGAAGGTGCAGAGAAGCTAGATGATCAGATTTGGGGTGACGACGAGGAGAAGGAGGAGGAAGAAAAGGAAGAAGATATGGAAGAGGAAGATGGAAAGGGCTCTGGTGAAGCGGATGACCAGCACAACAATTTAGATGCTGAGAAAGATATGGCACCGGGAGAAGAGGAGGATGGTTTGGACGCTGTGGATAAGGCAATGGACGACAAGAAAAAAGAGAAACCAAAGGACATTGAAGACATGAACAATGAGGAAGGCGAGGAAGAGCAAGAAAATCCTCATCATAATGAGCTCGAGGAGCCACCGCAACCCGAGGATATGGACATTGATGAAGACATTAATTTGGATAATGATGATAGGCCTGATAATCAGAAGGACGAGGAGGAAAATCAAGAAAATCCATTCGACGTTGATAACATGAAGGACAAGGGGGATGATCAGGATGATGAAGAAGGGGAATCGAAAGAAGAAGTTCAGAAAGATGGAGATCAAGATCAGCAAAACGGTGACGATTCATCGGATGAGGAACAAGAACAGGAAAATCCCGATGGTGCCGACAAATTGGACGATAATCAGGAGAATCCAGAAGGTGAAGAAGAACAAGAGAAACCGGAAGATGAAATCCAGCAAATACCGGACGAAAACAAAGACGAACCGCCAGCGGAGGAAGAGCCACAACCAGAGGAAGGCGATGATAAGAAGAAGAAACAAGACGAGCAACATCATGAATCGAAGGATAAACGTTCGGAAGAGGAACGAATTGAAGCGATGCCCGATACGGAAAATAAAGGAACCAGTGATCAAGTGGCAAACGAAAAACCAGAGTCAAAGCAGGAGAATGAAATGGACGAACAAGACACCGGAGAGGATAAGGATGGAGTCGGACAGGCTGAGAATGAGAAATCCGACAGCGGTCACCAAGGCATTGCCGAATCGAAAGAAACCCGAACGAAGCGTGATAAAAATGACCAAAAGCAGCAGCAAGAGAAGCGACGACAGGGCAATACGGATGAAGATAGGACACTGGGCGATCCGGATAAAGCTGAAAAGAAACGCTTGAAGACGGTAGACGAAATCAACAGAGAAGATCGGGCAAACAAGGAGGATGATATCGAAGAAGATGCCGATAAGGAAGAAGAATCGGAAGAGTATCAGCACGTAAAGGATGCTAAGCAGTCGGACAAGACTACGCTGGATAATGCGACGGAAGAGCAGTCGAAGAAGCTACAGCACCAAGAGAACGAGAAGCAGGAGGATAAACCTGATGAAGAACAAGAAGGTACAGATGAATTGATGGATGTTGATGAACAGAAGGAAGAGTTGGAAGAAACCGACAAACAACTGCTGGAGAGTGAAAAGAACGAAAAGAAAAAGGACAAACCGGCCAAGAAAGATGAGAACCAACGAGAGAAAATCGAAACGTTGGAGAACGTCGAAGTCGAAGGAGAGACGGTGGAAACGGCGCGCGTGCCAAGAGGAGAGGACACTACGGCACATACAGTGTGAGTATTTACGATTTTATATTTTTGTATGAATGAAATTGATATTCGTTTTTCTTTAGCATGGACATTTTGAACGATATGACCGTACCGGAGGAACCGACCACAGCCGAAGCGCTGGAGATGCGCAAAATGGTCGAAAAGGAAACCTTAGCCGTGAATGCTGCCCAACCTGAGCACGACGACTTCGACCGGTGGCAGCACATCTCCAACAAGATGCTTCCGAATGCCCGGGAGCTTTGCGAACAGCTTCGATTGATCCTGGAGCCGACCAAGTGTACGCGGCTTAAGGGTGACTACCGAACGGGTCGTAGGATCAACATGAAGAAGATCATTCCTTACATTGCCTCGCAGTTCCGCAAGGACAAAATCTGGCTTCGAAGGACGAAAGCTGCCCAGCGAGACTACAAGATCACCATCGCTGTAGATGACTCCAAGTCGATGGATCACAATAACTCAAAGGATCTGACCTTGCAGGCGATTTCGCTGGTTTCGCAAGCCTTGACTCTGTTGGAAAGCGGTCGTCTGAATGTTATGTCGTTTGGAGAATCACCCAAGATTTTGCTCAAGCATTCCGATCAGTTCGATGGAGCTAAGTTGATCAACTCGTTGAACTTCGAACAGAACCAGAGCCGAATTGCCGAGTTGCTGGACTTTGTTAGGACGTGCAACTCGGAGGATACCTCTTCGTCGGACAATGGTATTTTCGAGAATCTGCTGTTGGTTCTGAGCGATGGTCGGAACATTTTCAGCGAGGGTGAGAAGAAGGTGAAGAACTCGGTCAAGCTTGCCCGCTTGCAGAGGATATTCATCGTTTATGTGATCATTGATAATCCGGAAAATAAGGTAGGATGAGCATATTGTTTTCTGATGCAGACTAGAGGTTAAACTGGAACATCTTCTATTTCGTTTGACAGCACTCCGTCATGGACATCCGTGTACCGTTGTTCACACCGGACCGGAACCAGATCGTGATGCGGTCCTACCTGGACGTATTTCCGTTCCCGTATTATGTGATCGTGCGCGATCTAGGTCAGTTGCCACTGGTTTTGAGCGATGCCATGCGACAGTGGTTCGAGCTGGTCAACAGTGAGCAGTAGGTGGAGTGCATTTTCGTAAGTCATTATGTTATTCTTTATGTAGCGTCGAAAGATGATTTAAGTACGTACCATGTAAATAGTTATTGATCCAGTTGGAGGAACCTACTTAATCATAACATGCTTCATACAGAACATCGAAGTTCTACTACCTACTCCCAGAGCCCGATTATTATATTTCATAAATTATAATAAATAAAAATATTTCTTAAAAATATATTGATAAGCACTTATTTCTGATGACATTCAGGGGTAATAGGCTAGGCAGATTAGGTTAAGTGATAATGAATCCATATTTGATCTAAAGGCGAAATCTAGAATAAAACATGATTTCCTTGACCCATTTGACCTAACGACTTTCATTAAAACGAACCATTCGGTCTAATCGTGTTCGGAGTGGGTCTAGCCCATTTGGCATCAAGTAGTTTAGCATAAGATCATTTGGTATAAAATGTACAGAACAAATAGAAAAATATTAAGATCATTTGGCATAACAGAACAGAAATATGTTTTATAATTTTGGAAGACATCAATAATAACCTCAACCTTGTGAACTCAGGACGATTGTGCTACATTTCCCCGAATGTCGTTTCCCCGAATGTCACTTCCCCGAACGCCATTTCCCCGAACGCCATTTCCCCGAATCCCAGACAAACATATACCCCATTTCCCCGAATGTCATTTCCCCGAATGCCATTCCCCCGAATTACATTTCCCGAATGTAATTTCCTCGAATGAAATCCAAAAATTTATAAAATACTTTGACTGTATTACATTTCTATGGTTGGTTTCGCGAGCATTAAGAAGACATCTTTGAATATTGCAACAATTAACCTTAAAAGAACAGCTCATGATAAAAAAAGGGAAAATCTCTGTTCAAAGTAAATCAATCGGGCGAGAGTTTTAGTAAGGCGGCGGCAGTACCAGAAGTGGAAGTGTAAAAATTGGTAATATATTTTTAGGACATTTTCCCTTATTTTATACATGAGCAGTTCTTTCGAAAACTTTGGCAAAACTAATATCGATGATTTGACGGATTGGTAATAAATTTTTAGGAGATTTTCCCTTCTTTTTAAATTTATTTAGGAGATTTTCAGCCGTAGACACATTTTATCCTTCTTTTATAAATGTTTTTTCGAAAACTTTCTCAAAAGTTGTGAGATTGACGGTTTGACAAATTGGTAATGTATTTTGAGGAAATTTTTCCCTCTTTTATAAACGAGCAGTCTTCCGGGAACTTAGACAATATGTGAGGTCGATGGATTTAAAAATTGATAACATAGTTTTACGAGATTTTTTCTTTTATAAAGTCAAATCGAGGAATTTGGCAAAACTTGTGAGATATATGATTTGACAAATGAATCGAGGAATGCTGTGAGTTTTACACTCACAACTACTGACAACATGGCGCCACCTTCTATGGACGAAAAGTAGTTAAACCGAAAAATAATGTATGCAGATTTCAATATTTTTATTAAATTTTCGTTTGTGGAGGCGAAACGAGAAAAAATATTTGGTAGCGGTGTTGCGCCATAATATAAGCCACCTTCTGTACCAATATTTTTTTTTCAAAGGGCCAAGAAAATCATTTTCCGATTTTCTGCGTACAAAACAAATCGCCATAACTTCTGTTTATTACTGTCACCTGTTGAAATTTGGTTGCAATAATTTCCGAAACAAGTTTTGCTAAATTTCCCGAAAGAACTGCTTATGTAAAAAAGTAGGAATAAACATATTTTACCATTTTGTCAAACCATCGATCTCTCATGTTTTTCCAAAGTTCTCGAAAGAATTGCTCGTAAATAAAAGAAGGCAAAACCTCCTTAAAATTTATAATCAATTTGTCAAACCGACGATATTTTGCCAAATTTTTGGTGCTCTTTGGTTTTGGTCTGTCTTTTTGGTTTTGGATTATTATTCTATATATAAAAATGAAAATGCTTTTAACGGCTCAATACATTAATATAGGGGAAAGAGGGGCATAGTGAGCATCATGTGCTTTGGCAATGCGTTTCTAGCTACTCGAAGCAAATTAATTGGTAGTTGGGTTAATCTCATAAACATTCCATTTGCATGGCTTGAAATTTAATCTGGTTTGCCATCTGCTCACTATGCTCAAAATATAGTAAGAAAATTGCCAGCAATAACGGTTGGAAATTTCCTAACTTTTTTTTCGGGGATATGGCATTCGGGGAAATGGCACATTCGGGGAAATGGGTATTCGGGGAAATGGCGTTCGGGGAAATGGCGTTCGGGGAAGTGACATTCGGGGAAACGACATTCGGGGAAATGTAGCACAATTACTCAGGACAGAAGGGGAACAAATGTTTTGTCAATATCAGACATCTAGCATCACGGTCTCCGAAAATGTGATGTTTCATATATTCGGAGTGAAATTTTAGTGAGTCAGATGCCAATAAACTCCCTTAGCTTCGGTCCCAAGCCAATCGATGCACCTCTCGAAACATAGGAAAATCCACGAACCCATCATTTTATCTTACAAACTTTCATAGCGAATCAAAACAAACATAGTGTAGTACTAAAGGGTGTCCACGATGAAATTGCCACACTATGAAATTGCTCTAACTTTTTAACCGTTGGGTAGAATTTAATGAAAATTTGGGTGGATTTAGTTCATCCTGCAAGTTTTAAAGTCCTGTGATCAAAACTCGCGGAAATGGAGTCGAAAGAACAGCTCGTGCGTGATAAAATCTTGCGCATTCATCACGAGAACAAGGATCTCTCACATCGTTCCATCGCTAAAACGTTGGGAATCGCGAATTCCACGGTGTCGCGAGTGATTAAGCGGTTCGAGGAACGGTTGACCACCGATCGGAAGCCCAGAAGTGAAGGAAAAAGTATTCCGTACAACACCAAAAATCACAACCGCGTAGTTGGGGCCTTCAACCGAAATCCGAACGCCTCCGTTAGGGATGTGGCTAAGAAGCTGCACCTAAGCCGAAGTTTTGTCCAGAAGGCCAAAACTAAGGCTGGGCTTCGAACGTTCAAGGTACAAAAGGCCCCTAATCGCGACGAGAAGCAGAACAAGTCCGCCAAAACCCGTGCCAGGAAGTTGTACCTCAACATGCTGATGAAAGTTGAATGCTGCATCATGGACGACGAAACATGTGTGAAGGCCGACTTCAAACAGATCCCCGGCAACCTGTTTTTCACGGCCAAGGATAAGTTCAGCGTTCCGGAGCATGTCCGCACTCAGAAGATGTCCAAATTTGCGAATAAATTCCTGGTTTGGCAAGCCATCTGCACGTGCGGGAAGCGGAGTGCACCTTTCGTGACCCAGGACACGATGAACGGACAGGTGTACATAAAAGAGTGCCTCCAGAAGCGGCTGCTTCCTCTCCTGAAGGCCCACAACGTCCCAACAATCTTCTGGCCGGATTTGGCCTCATGCCACTACTCCAAGGACGTGCTGAAGTGGTATGCGGACAATAAGGTCAATTTCGTGCCGAAAATGTTCAACCCTCCCAACACTCCGGAGCTCCGCCCCATCGAGAAGTACTGGGCGATTATGAAGCAGCACCTTCTTAAACGACCTAAGGTAGTGAAGACAGTCGAGGAACTGAAGAAAGTATGGGTTTACATGCAAAAAACGGTTGATTCACAGGTTGTGCAGAATCTTATGGCCGGGGTTAAGGCCAAGGTGCGGGCATTTGCGTATGGACTGTAAATAAAATACGAGTAAAATGGTAAAATGAAGTTTAATAGTTATTTCTCAATCCCTGAAAATTTGATGGCAATCGGATGAAAACTCGAATTTTGCGAATCAATTTTGTGTGTGGCAATTTCATCGTGGACACCCTTTAGAATGTCAACTAGAATGGGGTACGTTAATCGATTTGCTTTAGACCAATAGGCTAGTCCAGTTGTGAGCCAAGTTAAAATCGTTAGTTGGTACCGGTTTGACCGTTAAATGCGAGGGGGGCGACACATCTAAATCTCAAGTCTAGATGCTCAATAAATCTCACACTAGCGAATCAATCTTCGAAAAATCTTCAATCATTTCTCGCATCTACTTGCATTACGCATAATCTTTTTGCAGGAAATGTTCAGAATCGTCATCAATCTTCTTTCTATCTACTCAGCGTGCGCGCAGCTAGCCACAGCAAAACGCAATCTTTTCTGCATCGTAGATAGAGTCGTCCCCCTCGGTTAAATGCGTGTTCGATGAACAAATTGCCAGTGTTATGTATGTCTGTGGCGGTAGTGCAACATCAAATGGAAGCGAATTGACTATGCGCGCCACAGAAACTATAAAGCTGGGTTTAGACAGAGCAAGTCAATTGATCAAGTCAGTTGAATTCAACTGACTTGAACGCGAATTGAACGTGTAAACCATGCCATTCAACTGACTTGATCAACTCACTTGAATTGAAAAAAGTTGAACCAGGCTCAACTTTTCAAGCCAATTGAATTCAACTGAGTTGATCATTTGACTTGCCTAGTCTAAACCCAGCATAAAAAAAATTAAAATTACCGTTGCAAGAGTTATTAAAAGGACTTTGGTCTTCCGGAACACAGAAAAAACTAACACGTGGAATTAAACGTAACTTAAAAGGTTTATTAGAACGAATTAAAAAGTGACCGTTCGCGTCTAGTGATTATTAACGACTAACGACTAATAGAATTTTCACCCATCAGGTGCCAAGGTGATCGATTCAAATACAAAAACCACCTACTGCGTTTTCACCCCTCTCGATCGTCTAGTCCAATCTTCCTTCTTAGGGCTTCAAATCGACCAGCATCCAATGCTTTGCTGAAGATGTCTGCTAGTTAACCCAAAGTCGGAATGACTTCCACAGTCAGACTTCCAGCAGCAATGTGGTTTCGCACAAAGTGGTGTTTAATGTCAATGTGCTTGGCCCGTTTGCACTCGAGGTTTTTCGCCATTCCGATACATCCTCGGTTGTCCTCCAAAATAGGAACAGGTTCGACGGTCTTCAAGCCAAGATCACCTAATAGTCCTGTAAGCCAGATAGCTTCAGCCGCTGCAGCACTCAATGCCACATATTCCACCTCGCTCGATGATGTGGCCACAGTAGTCTGCTTCTTACTGGACCACGACATGGTGTTTCCGTACACCTGGAACAAGTAACCGCTTATTGATTTCCGGTCGGTATTGTCACAGGCCCAATCCGCATCTGCGTAACCGACGAGTGGTTTGGCTTGCTCGTTCCTCTTCATCTCCAGCATAAAATTCTTCGAGCTTTGCAGATAACTCACTACACGTTTCAGTGCGATCCAATGTTGTTGGCCAGGTTGCTGTTGAAATCGGCCCAAATAGCCAACTGGGTAACATATGTCAGGACGGGTGGACCGAGGGGTGGACATCATAACATACATGAGGCTTCCAAACAGCTCACGGTAAGGTTCTGCGGTTGTTTGTCCTTCATTCACAACAAGTTTCAATCCTTTTTCCATAGGTGACCTTGACGGATTGCAATCAGCCATGTCAAACTTCGCCAGGAGATTTGTGATGTTTACTGCCTGCGACAGTTGCATTGAAAACATGAGATAGTCGTTTCAATAAATCATCGACGTACAGCACGATAAACACTGCATCTTTGCCGTCCTCGCTGTACCATGAGTACAGGCACGAAACCAAGCTTCAAAAGCACATTGTTGAACTTTTAATTCCAGTAGCGGAGTGACTGCTTTAGCCTTTAGCCCGTACAACGACTTTTGCAAACGGCACACCATTCCAGAGAGAGCTTGTACGCCATCGGGGACTTCCGTATATATTTCCTCACGCAACTCGCCATGAAGAAATGCCGTTTTCACGTCCATCTGGTGGAAGAAACAGCGCCGTTGTACCAACAATCAATACGAAACTAACGATTTTAAATTGGCTCACTACTTGACTAGCCTATTGATCCCAAGCAAACGATTAACGTACCCCATTCTAGTCAAAATTCTAGTACTACACTATGTTTGTTTTGATTCGCTATGAAAGTTTGACAGATAAAATGAGGGGTTGGTGGATTTTCCTATGTTTCGAGGGGTGCATCGATTAGCTTGGGACCGAAGCTACACAGAAAAAAAAATTTAATATCGATCAATGTAATTCAAGCTGATGTATGAAATAATGATGTAATAGCAAAAGCAGATACAATATTACATCAATGGATATAATTTTGTTTACAAATTCGATGTACATCGTACAACGTTAAATTACACAACCGATGGATTGACCTGGTTGCAGCAGTTTGGATGTAATATACAACAACTCGACTGGTCGAGTATTAGTACAAGACACTGAAGAAGTCTGCACATTGTAAACGAAATACGCGTATCTGTCAAGGATAAGCAAATAAAGTAGTGAAATTAAATGGAAAATACTAATCCTTCTCTCTCTCAATATCCATACTTCGTTGGATTTCAGGGAAGCCAGCTCGTCCTTGGCTGCTTCCAACCAGGACTCACGATCGTCACGACCATGAATTTCGTCGAACGCACTCGGTGGTTCTGCGAAAGGGAAAATACTGCCAGCAGATGTTGCTCTAAAGCCAGAACGACTAACTCAGCGGCCAGCAGGTGCCAAGGCGATCGATTCAAATAAAAAACCCGCCTACTGCGTTTTCCGTTATGTTTGTTTGTCTGTGGCTATAGCTAATCCCCAGACAAACAGACATAACACAATGCATATTTCTCACTGTAAAACATCATCGCTAATCCAATCCGGGGGCAACTTGGCAACTTCAGTATATTGCCAGTGTACCCCGACCATTGGGTTCTTTAATTTTGAAAAATATATCGGTTTCTACACATCATCTGAAAGGGCTTCGTTTTCTGAGCACAGCGATATTTTTTTCGATCCCATTTACTTCTATCTTGATTTTTAAATCAAGATTTAAAGCAAACTAATCACTTCACCGTTTGACACAAAACTAACATATTGACAGCTCACTCCCATACAAAGTACCACACCGAGGGGCGCTAAGATGGCGATTTTTGCTCATGTAATCACACTTATTTAAAACAGTTCCAGTGCTGCAAAATTGATGAAATTTTGGGTTTCGGTTCCATTTGTGATGTAGATTACGAATATCAAATTACCTTAAAACCCCTAATACCCCGTTCACATTACAGCCTATATCACGTAATATAGGCTGTCTTGCAATGAGCAGTTATACATAGGATTTCCAGTGAAAACTAGATGTATGAGTGCTCATTGCAAGACAGCGTATATCACGTGATATACGCTGTAATGTGAACGGGGTATAAAGAACCCAATTGATGGGGTGCTAGTGGTTCTGCCAAACTCACAAATATTAGAATTGCCTTCTGAATGGGATGAATACAGAAATGATGTTACTGTAAATGCAAGTTTTAAACTCATCTTACATAACCAGTTTATGAAACTCATTTGATTATTTGATCCTACACTGAAAAAAGTTTTCACTTAGTTTCTATTAGGAACGCACATAATATTTTTCCAATAACAAAAATAATGATTGTTATCTGAATATCACATAGCATAAGAAATTCTATATGAGAAATCAAATAGATTTTATTGGACACATAACGTTCATGTGATTTAGTGGTGCAATTTCCAATTATTGGATCACATGAAAGCTATGTGAAATTCACATGGATATTTTCCACTGATTATGTGATTTATTTTATGAGTGTATGTCTTTGAGCATTACAGAACCGAAAGCTTGAACATGATTTATAAGACGAAAATATGTGGTTGTCATCGAATTAATCGAAACAAACGAGAATTGAGCGAGGATACTTTCGGTGTTTTCGAGGCTATTGCTATAATCGTCTATGATGAACAAAGATGGAATGGTTTTGCAGCGAGTAAAAGTGTACTAATAGCTAATAATACGTAGGTTGTACTGCAATTTGAGATACTAGTGCACTTAAATACTTAAGGTGTTTCCTTGTAGAGTATATTTTTCCATCACACCTCGCAATTTCAAGAGCACACAGCTCAAGATCTACGAGATTTAGAAAGCTGCAAATTTCAGACATTGCTTGCTTCTCCGCAGCAAACAACAAGTAGTAGTTTCAGCTACGTGCATTCACAGAAACCTTATTATTATTACATGTGAAATTGCGAAGTGTAATACGAAAAAGGACGCTACAGGGAATCACCTTAAATGCATTTAAGCTGCAGCTTCTCAAACCGTTCACTTCAGTTACCCCGTACGAGAAACAAGGGAAAAGTAGACTCTTGTTATTCATACGGCCCATGGGAAGCTTTAACCGCACAACTATAGTACCTATCGTTTAATTCATCGTTGTAACCCAAGTGGCAGGAAATCATCGAAATTTTCGCTGGTATCGGACACTAACGTAGCCCCATCAACAGCCTTTCCATCTCCAACGAGGTACTGACCTGGTTCAGGATTACGATATAGACTTTTACCTGTTTTTCCCTCGCTTTTTCCAAGATTATCTGGTCACCGGTCAAAAGATGTGATTGGAGGAAATCAAATTTCACTATCGTAGCGTGAAGAACGACGATAAATGTCTCTCCCAGCTGGAACCGCATCACATACAGGGATTGGATATCCACCGGTGGAGGAGTTATTGGTCAAAAGGTCCATCGAGAAGATAAAGAAACGGGTAGCTTCATAGTTGCAGAGGAACGACTAGACCGCATCAGACGGGATATGATGGATGAGGTGATGGTGTTCAGGACCAGGATTTTCAATTGAGACAGATATTTTTGTGGATCGCGCGTAAACGGTTGTTGTATTATTGTTCAAAATATATAATAAATATAGTTTTGACCCTTTATATCTTATAATACAATTTTTTATTTAATATTCAATAAAATTGAAAGTAAAAATACTTGTTTTTAAATTGAAAATATTCGATTCTTCAATTCAAAATGACACATATTATGTCAACTGTACAACACTTTCATTTCAAGAGTTTGATTTGAATTCGCTTTTAATTTCAACACTGCCATGCTTTTCGTTTGACAGTAGTACAATTCATTTTAAAAGTTTTAACTTTTAAAAGTTGTGGCTGCGAAACTTTTGACTTGACAGTTGGCTGACTTTTATTTTGAAAGCAAAACGCTTTCTACCAAAAAGAACCAACGCAAACTTTTAATTCTACCAATGGTTTTTTTAATTTTAGCAACGATTTTTCTTTGTGTGTATGCTCAAAGCAACAATCTGAAGGCTGATCAAATTCAAGAACAAAATATGATAGAAGAATCCAAAGTATTTGTATTCCCATTTGATGATTTAAGAAAATGAACCCCAATCAGTTTCAATTTGTTTAAATTTTTGTCATTTCACCATATTCATATGGCCTGTTGTTTGACATCCACTCATGGTAAAACATGGCTTCCTATATAAAGAAACCCTAATAATAATAACCATAAAAGAGAGCTTAACGACGTGTTCGGGGTATCATCCAAACCATTTGTGGGATAGTTTACCCATCCGGGATACAGTTCGTTTATGGTATTTGTTTATTAGGGAATACCAACCGGTGGAAACTAACGATTTTAAATTGGCTCACTACTTGACTATCCTAATAAAAAAATAACCATAAACGAACGATAACCCAAATCATTCAACTATTCCACAAATGGTTTGGATGATACTCAGAACACGTCGTTAAGCAAATTAACCATACAATTTTTATTAGGGTAGCCTATTGGTCCCAAGCAAATGATTAACGTACCCCATTCTAGTCGAAATTGACAGATAAAATGAGGGCTTCGTGGATTTTCCTATGTTTTGAGGGGTGCATCGATTTGCTTGGCACCGAAGATAGTACCAGAGCTGAGCCAAAAAGTTGAGCACGTTTCTTCGTAGTGCGAACATATCATTAAAATGGTTTTGTATAGTAGTGTGCAGCTGCATACCGTCCTTGCTGCCTCTCGTTCGAAAATAAATTAAATAATGTGCGTGTTCGGGGGTTCGGCCTTTTTCGCCCGCACACTTTGACAATCAAATTTCGCCCTCGTTGGCGATTTTAAACCGTCAGTCACTCTCTTTTTTCCTCTCCCACACGCACACATCGAAACCGGACGCTCTTGTGCGATGATTTTGCGATGCAGCCCCAGCAGCAGTCATAACCAGACGTATTTTTCTCTCGTTCGTCGTTCAAAAGTCGATTGGTGTGTGGTGTCTGTCGGTCGAGTTCGAGAGTGTTGCAAAGGTTGGAAAAAGAAACGGGAAATTTTGAAGTGGTTCAATTTTTGCGTATTCGTGGCTATTCGCAGCAGTTTCCCCGTCGAAACGTCGATCAGAACCTGCAGAAACGGGATCGGAACAGATTGGTGCGTCGCGAGAACGGATTACGGCGCTGTAGTTCCCTGGAAGTAGCGAAAAAGAACATCCATCGACGACGGAAGGTTGGAATTTGGCGGAGGAAAAAAAAAGGTTCGCCTTGGATGAGCAGCGAGCAGATCCATAAGAAGGGGAGTAGTGTGCTGCACTCACACACAGGCACGGCGCTTGACGTTGGATTGGATTGTGTTTCAATCGTCCGTCGTCGTCGTCGTCGTCGCGGTGGATGGAGTTTGTGATGCACGTTCATGGGCGTCGTGTATTTTTTTCTGTTAGGCAACAATAGTGAAGAGTTTAGACAGAAGAGTGAAGTGGGCACGGGGATTGACGGTGGTGGGCTTTGGTTGCAGCAATAGTGGCAACAGCAGCTCTCAGCAGAAGCAAAAGAGCAGCTCTAGAAAATCCAAGCAGTTGAAAGGGTTGAAAGCAATAGCACTGGCACCTGGCAGAAGCAGCAGTAGCAGAAGGAGACGACAGCCAAGGAAAAAAAAGTGAATAGGCTCTCTGTGTGTGAGAAAGTGTTGTAATGCATCTAGTGAAATTTGTTTTTCCTCATCGTCGTCATCATCATCAGCATCGACATTGCCGTGCCGTGATCGCGGAGAGGGTTTGCCTTGACCAGCGGAAGAAATAGACGTGCTGTTCCATTGTTTTGGGGGTAGCTGGAGGCAAACACATTCAAATTCAGACAGACTGCGGTGAGAATAGGGTGCTGCTTCCGCAAACGCTGTAATCGAGAAGAGTGGCTTCGCTGGCGCTGACGGAGCAGTAGGGTGGGATGATTGTGCAGGAACCAGTGCAGGTGAGTACGCCCCATTCCGTACAGCAGCATAAGTGGCAGGGGAGGGGGAATTTGACAGTAACCATGTCAAAGTTGTAGTAGTCTTCTATCCTCGCTTTTGGATGCTTCTTCGCGCAGGGGGGCAAACAAGTGAAGGGATTCTGATCGGTAATCTCTCTGTGCTTATCTGCCGTGAATTGAATTAGTTGAGTAATCGGCAGGTACCTATTTTTTGAAAGTGAAAAAAGATAGAAAAGATAGTCATGGTTCAGGTACATATTTTCTATGCGGTGGTTGATAAGATCAATAAATCAATAAACATTACAACTTTCAAGGTACTTTTTTGCGACTGAAGGTTTATTGCGATGTGGGTAGTCAGTCAGTAGACAAAATGAATGGCTCTGGGATTATTATCCCAGGCTCGAGTTGAACACAACTTAATTAGTAGCAATTCTTTAGGATTTGCTGTGTTGCATGTTTATCCGGTTAAAGAAAGGTGGAACCATGTAATAATCTAGGTCAGGCGAAGGCTAAACGAGGACGCAGAGCATAGATATGTGTACATAGTTGTCTCGTGCCATGAACCAAGGTTGAACGATATTATTCTCCTGTAGTTTAGTATAGCAAGAATTTTCTCATCCGTAGGGGTAGGTCGGTCACATGATCAATAAAGAAAGTGTGATGTAGTGTAATCAGAAATAATCTCTAGCATTTTTAATCTGTGATGAATGTGGATTTTACTGAATGGGCACATATTTGTTTGCTGAGTAATTTTTTATTTGATACTCTCTATTTGTCCGATGAATGATGTCAGTCTAAGAACTTTTATGACAGACCCGAAAAAATGTTGTGTTGAGTCATTGGGGGCTTCTGGAGCAAATTAAGAGCACTTCAAAGCACTTCGGAGCTAAATGTGATACTGAACACTTTCCTTATGGCTCATTTTCCTTAGACTATCTTTTGGAGACCAACCGAATTTGGATTTCAATTCCATTGAACTTGGCTATGAAGTTCCCTGTACTTGAATTCGATCTCTTATGAACATTCCCTTGAAATCATCTGCACTTGCCTCCACGTTACTATGTAGTCTGTATTAGCATTCGTCCTAAGAGATGACCCTTCAAGCACTGGTAAACTTTCTCAAAGACATCCAATCGCTTCTATACTGTATAATCACCGTCATTAACCCTGATTCGAGATACAGTCTAAGCCTCACATGAAGATCCTGATGAATGTGGGCGTCTTAGTGCAATACTTGAGAGAGAAGGATTAGTAATTTCCATTTAATTCCACTACCTTTTTTTGCTTATCCTTGACAGATACGCGTATTTCGTCTACAATGTGCAGACTATTTCAGTGTCTTGTATAAATACTAGAGTTCTGAGTATGTTGAGGATTATTCAAAAAGAATTCTAAGGAATATTCCATAGGAATATTGAGAGGCATTCCGCAGGATATGAAAACAAGAGCTTCAAAAGAATTCTGTGGAGTACCTTAGCGCAATACCTAGAGGAAGTTAAATGGTACTCGAGGGAGAGTTTCATGAGGTTTCTTAGGAAAATTTCAAAGAATCCCTGAGCAGAAATCAAAAATATAACAAGGAATAATTCAATTAATGTTTTGGGAGAATACTAATAAAAATACTCCGTTATTGATCAAAATCAATGAAATTGCACAATGAATCAACTGAATGGGGCTGTGAGTTGCCATTCATACTCATTGTACAAGTTTCAGTAACTACAATTTTTAAGCATCAATAAGGGTGCCAGCCAAGTCCTGGCAATCAGATGGGAGTTAGTAAGGAATATTAAAGTGACCTTTGTTGTTTTGGGGACCGTGTTTATCTCTGCCAGGGTGTCGACTACCTGGAAAAACCTGGAAAGTCAGGGAATGTCAGGGAATTCTATTTCTGGTCTGGAAAGTCAGGGAATGTCAGGGAATTTTAGTGTAGGTCAGGGAAAAAAAATGATATTTTTGATTGATTCTAGGCAATTTAACATTGAAATTGAAACGAACCAAAATAGCCGAATTGAGTATTTTGCATTAAAACACAAATTTTGTGTTGTTTCATTTGGCTTTTTTCTCTTCCGCTTCGTTCAGAAAAATAATCAGGACTTCCTGATTTTGTAAATGTAGTCCTTTACTAATTTTCCAGGGATATGCTGTGGTTGTCAATTTTAATATATAACCTTATATAGCGCGTCTACATCACATTGATTTGGGTACTTTGCTTTTTGGTACCCACTCTAGTTCGTTTACCCCAAAACTGGTGCAATGGGGCAAAGAGCTCGTTGAGATGACTGTTATCAAATAATGTTTTTCGACAGTCAAATCGCCGCTAAGGTTCAGCTAGGACGTGACCTGGATATTTTTGGCATTGCTCCGTACTATAAAGCAGAGCTGAAAAACACTGCAAAAGTTCAGCTTTTTTGTTATAGGGTTTGACGAACCCCTAAATAAAACAACAACAACAAAACAAATGGATTTGAATTCCCGATTCTGGGATGATTCGAAAAACGAGGTGGCAACTCGTTACATGACGTCAAAGTTTTTGGGAAGATCCCTGGCATCAGATCTACTCGCTGCGTCCATGTGTCCATGGATGGGCCCAAAAAGGTGGCGAGAAGCTGATAGATCTAGTAAGCTCTGGCTGCATATTTTGCATAATGTATTCAAGGATAGTGTTCGCAGTACCAGTTGGGGATGTTGTCAAATGTTTGCGTGGTATCTACAATATCTTCATAGATGTACCAGCAAGACGAGCGTTTTTTTCAATGTATTCCGGATCTACCATATTCCCGTTAAATTTTTGCGGCCACCGATGGCTGGATAATAGTGGTGCTGTTCAGAGGGCAATCGAAATTATTCCGCAAATACGAAAATTTATTCAAGGCGTCCAGAAAGACAAAATCGAACCAACCTCGGCTTCCTACCAAGATGTCAAAAACTGTTTGAATGAATCGCTGCTGATGGCTAATAGTACGTTCAGACTACAGAGTTATATCAGAGTTATCTCTATTGTTATAACATGTTATATCACTACCTTTATGGTGGTTTCTATGTTGCAATTATGTGACAACCGTTATAACATGTTATAACTCTGTAGTCTGAACATGGTATTAAGCTGGCTTTCTTCAAATCAGTTGCTATCGAAGTTGAGCCATTTCTATGCGAATTTCAGACGGATAACCCTATAGTACCTTTTTTGTACAACGCGATGTCTCAAATGGTTCGAGGCATTATGGAAAGGTTCATTAATATTGATCATCTGAACAATATTGCACAGGTAAATGGCACAGGTTATTGGTCGGCGTATTCACAGAACTATTGTTGGTTTTTGAAAATGATTTGCTGCTTATCGCATGGCAACGCCAATGCAGAGAGAGGTTTTTCAGTAAATGCAGAATGTCTTTTTGAAAACATGAGGGAAGAGTCAGTCGTTGCGCGATGTCAGATCTATGATGGTTTAACTCATGCAGGCGGGTTGGAAAACTTACAAAATTTGAATGAACATATTCAGCGAGTTTGAAATTCGTATTCGCTTTCCATGTAGACAAGGATCGTCGTATGAAAGAAGCTCTCGATTCCGACAAAGCGAAATTCTAGATAGAGCTGGAATTAGGGCGTAACAGCCTTTGTAAACAATGACTTTTATCGATGATTTCTAGGAACTCAAGGCATGCCCACGCAAACCATCATAACCGTCGGGTAGGGGAAGTCGTCCCCTACTGGATGGTGTTGTTGAATTGCGTTGGCGAGCCTGAACTTTCTAGAAATCATCGAAAGAAGTCATTGTTTACAAAAGCTGTTACGCCCTAATTCCAGCTCTATCTAGAATTGTTGAAACCCCAGAGAGAAGCAGAAGCGAAACATCTGGAGAATAAGCGAAGAAAGTTATTGGAAGATGCTCAAAAAGAAGCCGAGAGTTTGCAGGAGAAAATTGTTCTGCTCAAATCATAAGCAGAAAAATCTATCGTCGAAACAAACATATTTGAGGTAAATTTAAACGTTTAAATTTTGTTCTGGCCACAAAAATAAAAAAGGCTTATTGCAAACTTATTCCATTTTTGAAGTCAATACAATCTATGTTGAAAATAAAAATAATGTTACGTTTATTTTAAAAATATTCGAGCTTAAAATAAACGTGAAAACATTTTGTTGTCAAAGTGAACAAGCATAAATTTTTTAATTTTAAATATGTTTTTCATTTTTTAAACAAACAAACTATTTTAGTATTTGAAAGCGCGAAAAAGATACAGATAATGGATAGGTAGCATATAAATAGAAGGAAAGTCTGCAGACAGGACATGTAAATTCCCACTATTTTCGGGGTCGATAAAGGGTGGTCTGTGGATGGCGTGGATGGTGGTGTTCTAGTCCGGGTTCCAAAAGGCTTGTCGGGGTGAGTGTCTGGGGGTTCCAATTCAGTGGAATCTTTTGTTTCTGACGTTGACCCTCTTTCTACGTTTGTTGTCGGGAGAAGGGAGAGGATCCGGAATAGATTCAGCATCCATTTCGAATTGTCGTTTTTCTTTCGACGTCTTGGGAAAGGGTGTTATGTGGATCGGAACTGGAACATAATTTGGACACTTCCTAGATGGGTTTTCGGATCCTTTTATTCGGTTTCACGATCATTTACTCGGTTTCACGTTTTCCGAGGAATAGTTTGAGTCAATTTTTGCCGAATGTAAACAAGGCAGGACACGCTAAAAATCGTTTACCCAAATTCTGTATTGTTGAAATAAATATACTTTTGAATTTTATCCAAAAATAAATATTTTTGTTTCAAACATGTTTCAAATTTACTTTGAATTACTCATGTACTCATGTACTATGTTTATATAGAGCATTTCCAGCATTTAATTGAAAAATGCAACCATTAGTAGCAGCGAACACGTGAGAAATGTTTCATTCAAATCGGAAACACTCATGTCCAACCGGTTTGCGTTTTGGGCTGGAAATGCTCTATAATGAACATTAATATTTTTGATTTAAATGAACAACATTTGGTTGCGTGATTG